TAGGGAAATATTGGTAGGGTCCACATTTTGACGTTATTAGATTCTGTATTTGATTATTAGAGCTCACCAAACACGCTTTTCTATGCTAATTGATCATTTGATTATCAGATTAGAGGATGAAAAAAAATAAATTAGTTATCACACAATCTATGAAAAAAAAATATATTGTACGAGTTTGCATAAGATAATTAATTAATTAATGTATTTATATATATTTGATGACTAGAAAAAAAGGTACTTTAAGGAAACAATCATATTATATGCATTAGAAAGGAAAGAATAATTTTGTCCTCCACTCAAAGCCACTAGAATCCTCTCTTAAAAAAAAGATTAATCATTTTGTAAGACTAATTATATATAAATTTAGAACAATCATGTGAATGTATCGGTTTTGTTAGGTGGATTTGAATAAGCGGTCATTTAATTAAGGTCCATAGGGTGAAATTGAGTTTTTTCCCCTCTTTTTGTGCAATGTGTATTTGATGATATATATATATATATATATATATATATATATATATATATGCAATATAAATAATGATGTGAAAACCGAATAAATTAAAAAAAAGAGAGGAAAATTGGGTGGAAATGGATTGAAGGGCAGAGATAAACATAAGGCCGTGGGAAATGGTGTTGAGAGAAATGGAAGAAGGGAAGAAGAAGAAGAAATGGGGGGAGAGAGAACCTTACGCATATTGGAAAGGCAACCCTTTTGTTTCTTCCCCAACGAGACAAGATCTTCTCACTTGCAATCTCACTCTTCTACATGACTGGAACGCAAGATTGTTCATCCAGGTATTTATCCCATATAATATATATATATATATATAATCATCTAATACGTAAATATTAATATGCATTTGGCATGTTTGTGATATACTATCCATTAGGATTGGATACTAGAAGGCCAACGAGGATTCGAGAATTCAAATGTTGCAAAGCAGTGCACCTACAGGTCATACTATCGATCTCCATATCTCCAGGCAATTATTTGATTTCGTTTGCAAGTTATGTAAATAATTTGTTTCAGATACAAGATATACGTAGAAGGGTACGCGTGGTCGGTGAGCGAGAAGTACATACTGGCATGCGACTCGGTGACACTGATGGTGAAGCCTTATTTCTACGACTTCTTCACGAGAAGCCTGCAGCCTCTCCAACACTATTGGCCTATCAATGATAACCACAAATGCAGTTCCATCAAATTTGCCGTTGATTGGCTCAACAACAACTCACATAAGGTACACCATTCACGTGTATATATACACACAAGATTTTATACCAAAATACTACTCTTAAATCTTCTAATTTATTTAATCATTTTTCCAAATAGAGGAATTCAATAGTTATATATAACCAATCTTATATTTTCTATGAAAATTTAATCGTCAACTTAATAGAAAATTCGATAACTTAAATATGAACAGATAAATATGGATTGTATATACCAATATTTGGGTGACTCAAGCAAGGAAGTAAAACACCTTCTCGGTCTATTTCCAACTCAAGTTCGAATATTCACTTGGTGAGTGATATTCACATGTATTTCTCCGATCTTTTGAAAGATGTAGTTGAAACGAAGTCCAAATAAATTTTCGGATTATAAAATAAAATGAATTGTATATTATATGATAGGATGATTTTTCTTCTTTTGGTAGGCAGAGGAAATAGGAAGAGCTGCAAGTGAATTCATGGAGAGAGATGTGTCAATGGAGAATGTGTATGATTACATGTTCCATTTACTGAATGAATACTCCAAACTTATCAGATTCAAACCACAAATCCCAGAAAACGGAGTCGAAATCTGCTCGGAAGGATTCATCTGCGCATCGGAAGAAGATGGATCCAAGAAGAAAAGATTCATGATGGAATCTCTTATCAGTGGACCCCACAACTCAGTTCCATGCTCCTTGCCAACCCCTTTTGATTCCAAGACCCTTGGAAGGTTCTATAGACAGAAACTGAATCTCATCAGACAAGTTGAAAAATGGGAAGAAATTTATTGGCGGAGAGCTAAGTAGATACAACATGAATTACATTTTTTTAAAAGCTTTTTTTTTGTGATAATTGATGTTGGACAACAGAATTATAGTTTCATTTTGTCGGATCCATACGGTACTGTAATACATATATACATATATACATAAGAGTTTCAAATACAGAAAATGAAAATTACATACGATGTACGAGAGATACACTTTTGAGATCCAATCCACAAGTCGCACCAAATGAAATTGAAGTTTGGTTAAAAGGACTGGTTTAATAAAGATTTATGATGGGCTCTCTTGCCTCTTGCTAGTGGGCCATGAGGCCGACATTGTTTTCATATTCCATTTTTTGAACCCAAAGTTCTTGAAAGGGGTTTATAGACAGAAATCGAAATGATTGGACCTCATTAGGCAAATTGAGAAATACGAAATGCTTACTGGGATTAGGATTTGGATGGTCTCTTAAGCGTATAATATCTTTGCAAGCTATCTTTAAACAATTTTGATTTCTCATCAAATACAGATGTCATATGTATATACAAAACTTTATAGTATATCACCTTCCATAATACTGAAAATGTTTAATAAACTTTCAAGTTGAATCTATTGATTTTAGATTTGAAATATGTAAAAGTAAAACTCCAAGCTGTTGTATGTAAACAAACGCTTACAAGGAAGAAAAAAACGACATGCTTCTTGTTGTTTCTCTTTATTTATTTCTAACAAAAACAAAAAGATGATCTGAGTTTTCTTTTCCATGTTTCTACCTGTAAACGGCCCAACCTCGGATCAAAAGTTCTGCAAATTGCGAAAGGAAAACAAAAACAGGACGAAGAAGCATTTTTTTTTTGGAGAGAAACAACAGTAAAGTTTCCATCTTTGTTCTAGTTCTGGAACATAGAACCGTTGCCGCCGGCGTTGTGGTTCTGTGGCTGAAACGGCGATTGCCTACTGGAGCTTGGTCTGTAATCGGAGAGGTTGTTCCCGCTGCCGCCGCCGGAAAACTGCCCCGGAAAACCACTGTCGGAGAATCTTATGGCTCCTCCCGACATCCTCAGGCCTCCGAAAAAGGTGTTGTCTCTCAGCGAAGAAGCCTCAGGACCCAGTTGCGTCTGAAAGTTGAAACCGAGATGGAATGGAACCGGTGGGAAACTCGGTACATAGTTGTTGTTGTTCTGATACAAACCATTCAGATTCCTCAGACCATGATGAGCAAACCCAGATCCTGTCCAGATCTCCGACGGATCTTGCATCTGAGATACTGGTCGGAGTTGAAAGTTGCTGTTTGTGAGAGAGGCAAACCCTTGGTTTGAAGGGAAGAATGGACTCAGTGAAGGAACTGCAAGTGCAGGTGCAGGTGCAGGTGCAGGCAGGAGAGGGGTTGATGAATGTTTTGGTTCAATGGGGATCTCCATGTTCAGATCTTTCTGCATTTCGGTTCCTGGGACCAAAACACGATAAGGTTGTTGTTCCACAGGCGGAATGTTGACAGTAGTGTTGGCCTGGACCGTCTTTTTCGTTCTAAGGTACTTCTTCGACGATCCGAGTTCCGAAGTCGGAGCAGGGATAGCCAAAACAACGCTCATTTGGCTCTGGGTAGATGCCGAAGACAGATTCTTTGGTATGGCCTTCTCAACCGAAGCCCGACCCTTGGTGAATTTCATCTGTTCATCGCCGAGTTCTAGACTTTGATTGTTCTTTTCTTGTTGAAAGTAGTTTCTGCCATACCCGACTTCGTTGCTCCTGAAAAACCTTTCCAGAGGTCCGATATTACAATCAAATCCAACATTACCTTGTTCTTGTGCTTTGCCAGGAAGGTTATCTGTCTCCACCTCAACATTTTTCTCCTCTGTAGCTTTCTCCTCCGGCTTGCTCTGCTCTTCTTCTCTCTTGTTTTCTTCTTCGACATGCAGGTTTTTATCCCTTTCCCCTTCGGGAACCAAATTCATCATCATCTTCTTCTTCCTGACTGATCTCTTGGCAGTTCTTTTCCTCGGTTGATTTTCCTCTCTCTTCCCTTTCTCGTCCGATTGAGACATTTCACCTTTCATCCAACCAAGCAAACCCTCCCTAGAAGCTTTGAGATCATCAAGTAAGGTGTCCATAAAAGATGCAACACCATCAATTACCAAGTTTCCAGCCTTAGGTACACCAGTTGCTTCCTTCTGCTTCCCCTCGCCTTTTCCATGAACCGGTTTCTTTCTTGCATCGTTTGTCTCCTTACCTTTCCCGGGACTGTTCTGTTCGTTCTTGCTCCTACCCTCCTGGGATCTCGCCGGCTGCTTTCTACTAACTCCACTTGTTGTTGATTTCGGTGTTGCCTCAGCCTGAGATTGAGAGACAAGCTTATGCTTCTTCGGGACAGGCTCCTGGCTCGAGTTGGAATCCGAATTGTCGCTTGAAGAATCATCAAAGCTGTCCTCTTTCCTTCTGAAATCCCATTTCTCATTAAACCTCGACTGATCCTCCATTCTAAGTCTCAGATTTCACACAATACTTCAAACAGCTGCGAACAGAAGGCTTAAAATCAAGTAATCTTTTGAACATAAAAAGGCGTAATCTTTCGCCCAAATGAAATTAAAGGGTTTAGACTCTTATATCGATACGACAGATCATACGAACGCGAATTCACTAAAAGAAATTGCAGCCTCGGTCTAAATCACAAATTCAATAAAGGATTCACCTTTTGGAATTCACGCGAGGATACAGCTCTATGAATCGAAACACGATATCCTAATCCCTCGAAACAAGAGGAACATACAAATTCGTGCCTAACCACAAGGTCTAGATCACCGAGAGAATCAACTCGTAATTCTCATCGTCGAACTGACGAATCGAGACTAAAAGAAATGGATTTGGATCGAAGAGAAAGATCATCAAACCAGTTGAAACCAGGCAGTGCATCATCATCATGTGAGAAGAAAGACTAAATTACACAACTAAACAGGAATATTAAGAATGGCCAATGAACAATAAGAAAAGTTAATAAATGCTTCATTGTTTGCAAAATGAAAGAGTAAGAAAAGACAAGAAATTTCCTCACCTCGCCGGTTTTCAGGCCAAATTGAGCACCCACTTCGGCGTCTCTCGCTTATTCTGCTTCTTCCTTTCTCTATGCAAGTGTATATATATACTTATGTATATACATATATGTGTGTGCGTGTGTTTATCTTTGTATAGGTGTTTCGGTTTCAGGGACCATAAAAGGGAAAAATTGCATACTTTTGTATGAGCATATCAATTTCCATATACAGAGGGGAGAGAGTCACTGTATTGGTCTAAAATATTTCATAATTTTCTAAATATAGTATTTAATAATTTGAATCTAAATGCTATGGAACATAAATACACATATATATTTAATGCTAATATGTGTATATATATGTGTGTATAAGCGCGTGTATAGATATCAGTCTAGGTTAGATGTATCAGATAAGGCAAAGCAATACCAATTAAGCTAGAAGATAAGGCAAAGGAATACTAAGTCATGCAACAACAGAGAGCCTAAAACCTTTATTACACCATTAATCACGAGAAAGCATATTGCAAACCTTACAAATGTCATAAAAGGCCAGAATTAAACCACTGGTTCATTGTATCTTGGATAAGTATGAAAACTACTCAAAATCATCGAAATAATTTATTCTAAGAAAAAATATGTAAAAATGAGATCTTTTAATTACTAGTTTACAAGTGACAAAAATATTTTAATTACTTTTTTGGCATTGAAATCTTTTAACCATAAATTTCTTTGGCAGCAATGGCTCTTTTATTAGTCATTTGTGGGTCACAATAGAAAACTTGCTGTTACTTTTTTTTCTTCACACAAATTTATTGTGATACTCAATTTGGGGGTTGGCCAAATTAACTAATGGCACTCCCTTTTTTACTAAAAAAACATTGAGTAGAAATTCCTATTATTTGTGAAATTAGGAAAAGGATTATAAAAATCATGTTTTTAAATATCATATATGAAAAGAATTAATTTTCAAAATGATAACAATAAATAATTCCGTATGGTATTTATGACATAAAGAAAAAAGTTTAATTCCATTACCTCAAAGAAAAAAACTTCTCCATGCTTTCCATTGCAGAGCTCAGAATTCATCAGGCTTGCTTACACAGACTCGCATATGCGTATCATTTACCTTTTACAAGATTTATATTTCTCTTCTTCAACTTTGGAGTTCTCTACCACGGCTCCTGCAATGACAACCAGAAAAAAATCCATCTTTCCAATCACATTAACTTTACTTTCCCGGAAAATAGCTGAAAACGCCGTGAATTTTCGCATCTTGCACAAAAAACTCGTTAATTCTACTTAACAACCCTTTTTATACATCTGTTTATCAACTAAATCTGACATTGCAGTTCTAACTCGTTCATCACGCAGTTATGCGTGATGAGAGAGTTAGAATCTATAGAATAAATCACTAGTTCCACCAAAGTTTGAGACTTTATCATGTTTCGGAAAATGCAGATGACCCTTTTAGCCACTTCAAATTGTGTTTCACATATTATTTTCACCTCATGTGTAGAACATCCTATCCCAAAATGCCTATCCCAAAATGGTGAAGTAAAAAGGGTAAAGCTTTAAATTAACTGACTCACAAAGTTTGTTGCCATGGACATCTCGTCTCTTCTCCTTGAACATTTTGTGTCTAATCCAAATAGTCTAACAACAGCGACATTAGTGACTCTCCAGTAACCTGCAGAACCATAGCCAGGAAAAGAGAAAACAAGTGAATGGTACATAACAACAGTTTCTCAAAAAAGTTTAGGAGAAACAGAAGCATCTTGACTGGTTTCACTTACCAGAAAGGAAACCCGTGTCTATTCCATCCTGGTTAAGTTTATCTACACACTGCAGTGCCTCCCGGCATCATTCTCGGCCATAAAACTCTTTCTTTATCACCTTCAATTTGATACCTTTCATGGCTTTTTCCTCCTACAACTTGCAACAAAGAGCTGGGTCAATTGGGTACAGAGAAGTACTTGTAACAAAGATACACAACCAAGAACATCATTCAAGTTTATTTGTCGAAGCCAGATATGCTTACAAAATTATAACTGTATAAGAATCAATTCTGACTTGTCTGGAACTTACAACCATGTCACCTTCCTCATCCTCACCCACAGCAATGGCACGACACACAGCTACACATGCCTGATGTCATGAAGGAAGAGGCAATGACCATTTGGCAGGGGTGGATAGCAATCGTTTTTCACCATGGATCAGCCTCCACTAATCCACATTGGAAAGTTTCCACGAGTGTTAGAGCTTCTCCGTATCATAAAAAGTTAAGGTTCGCTGCTTAGTCTTGTTTCCAAGTTACCGACATCAATCCTCATTCCGTGGATTATCAGATGTCAGCATTGTCAGGTCGCTCTTGCTCAGTAGCAATCTTTGTCATAACCGGTCTCTTCCCTCTGTCCCTCTCACCCTTGCAGCCAATAACTTGAACCAGAATGGGAAGTACGCAATCAGATGATCACACAAAGAAGCACATAACTGACTGTTTATGGTACAAATAAACTAGTACACACACGAAAATTTATTGACACAACAGAAGAAAAAGGAAGTTCCAACTTTCAGTTTACAGATGTCAACTCCATAACAAAGTACAAACCTTTTAATCAATCCTTGAGTAAAGCTTAGACATTTTGAAAATTACATTTATAGGAAACCCTTGCCCCATCTGTCCAGAGCTAATCAAGTCTATGGACTCAATAACTTTTTTTGAATTGTCCACAACATAAATGATTACTAATATGGGAATGAGACTTAATGATCAGAGATAATATACCGGTAATAGTTCTTCTGGGTCTAAGCTCTCAAACTGAATCGAGCAGCCTTGACAAGCCATCAAGAGAGGGAGCGTGATCCACGATAGCACGAAAACTTGTTCCTCTAACAATATCCTCAAGTTGGATTTCCGACAGAAATTCCAACAGACATAGCAGCAAGAATATTATAAATGTTATCTCGTCGTAGCAAACCCGAGGAGATCTATAGTATATACCATGAGGGGTATAACCAAAACCGGAATCTCAACAAGGAATGTTCGAATTTTAATGGGTGAACATTGGCTTTCTTGTTCTCCATTGCAAATGTTACAACAGGAACATTAGAGTTCCCTTGTCGGATAAAAATAGCTGCATTTTGGATCGTCTATATTCTCCCTCAGAAATTCAAATCATCCCTAGTCAAGTTAGCGAAAAGGCTATATCGAAATCCACTTCATCTCATCTCCCTAAAGCAAGTTCATGAGGAGAAGCTCCCATGATCAGAGCTTCAGTTCCATTATGCAAACATTTTTAGCAATCGAAGTTCTGAACCAGAACAGCATCAGGAGTCGTGTTTGGCGACTCTTACTTGTTATCATCATGAATGTAATAAGATACCGTGCCAAACATCCCTGTTCATATTCATAAACACGTGGCTTCATAGAAGCTTTTTATCAAATACGTGGTGGTCATCTTCCTGTTCGTGCCCGTGACTCCAATCACTGCCATGGTTTCCGACGGGTACCTGTAAAACTAAGCGGCCAACGCGGACAAAACCACATTGGTGTCTTCCACAAGTACAAGTGCCATGTAAGTATCTTCAATGTTGATTTCCTTGCTTGCGACCACTGCCACTTCTCCTCTCCTGTCGGCTTCACTTAAAAAGAAATTTTCGTCGGAGAAATCTCCGGCGCTGACAACTCGCGAGTCGTGCTGAATTTCGGTGATCTCGAAGTCTTTGTCGCCAAAAACTGAAATGGGTACGACTTTGATCCCGTCCATAAGCTCTGTTAAGCTCATTTTGAAATTGGGTTCCACAATTCTCGCTTTCGCTTCACCGAAATAATCGGAATCGAACTCAATTTCCGATCAAACTCGGACCCGACGCCTTTTTCCTTTTTCTCTTCCCTCTTTTACTGTCGATCTAATGCTTTCTATCTTCGTGATCTGAGACATAACTTAAACCGGTCAAGCTCTCAATCTCCACCAAATCGGAGACTTCCTCTTCCTCCAGCTCATCGGCACCGTCTTCATCATCCTCTTTGTTCTTCTTGGACAACGCCGTTTTAGGTGGGTTCGGTCGGAGAAAACCCTGCTTCACGAACTCGCTACGCTTCGTAGAGATAGCCGGTTGATTTCTCCGAACAGATCGTCGCCGGCGATCTGAGTTGCTCGACTCGTCTCCGTCGCGTCCTCCACGTCGGCGATGGCGGAGAGATACACATCCCGATTCGCTTGAGAAGCCGAAGCGAAACGGTGCGCATTAGGCTGTTAGTTTGGGCCTGTGTAAGGCCCATTATGAACCCTCAATACTTTTTTTCACCCATTCAAAAAATGGTCTTACCGAGAAAAATAGTACATAAATAATAATTATGACATAACTTTAGACATTTAAAGATTCAATAAAAAAATTTTTTATCTAATTTGAAGCAAAAGGATGTTATTGTTGAATTTGTATCACCGTTTGAAAAGAAGAAAACAATGATAGGTTTAAGGCACATATGAATTATGGAATTATTGTCAATATCTAAAATTTTGATGATGTCATATATCATGAAGGATGAAATGAGCTTCTTTCCCATTTACATATTTTATATAATAGTTAGGATGGACATATTGAGGGGTGGGCACATATTAACGATAAGGTTTGAAATGGTGGAATTTTTAGATAAAAAAGTTGACAATTGAGAAGATAAACAAATTAACTAAAATAAAAGTATTTTAATAAATAATAAGAATAACTTAGATAAATATTATAAATATAAATGATATTTTAGATTTTTAACAAATATAATAGGTATCTCGAACCTTTTGTGAAATATTTGAAAATTCGGATTCGAAGTCGAAAATTTAGCTTCGTTAATATCCGGATATCTTTTATGATGGATAACTCCAAACCCGGTTATTGGTTAAAACTTAAAACACCCAACCCTATTATAATAATAGTATTGATATTGTGGTTGGTCATATCAAATTTCTAACTATGAAATGCAAATTTTCGTTATTCGGTTTCCATTCAACTATTTCGGTTTTAAAAAAACTATATCAATCCGATTTTTATATTGACATTCGGGTTGATTTCATTTTATTAACAAATACTCAATTTTTAAAGAAAAGATTTGCAATTTTCGATTATCGGTTTGGTTTGGTTTGGTTCTTATTCAGTTTTTTTTTGTTTCGATATTTGATACTAATGACAAAGATCGCGATCGGTTTTTGCGATTCGGACATTTTAGGCAAAACCCTAGTTTCTGTATATTCTGAGCTCACTTCCCGCCAAGCCTCTCCTGTCCATAAACTCAGAAAAACCCTAGTCCCTCATCCTCCTCAAGCTCCAAAACCCCATAGCCTCTCTCCACTCTTACCACTTGTTCCGACCAAAACCTGAAGCCATGGACTCATCACCTTCGAACCCTGATCTTGTCCTGATTCTTGACTATGGTTCTCAGTACACCCACCTCATCACTCGCCGTATTCGGTCTCTCAACGTTTTCTCCCTCTGCATCACCGGATCCTCCTCGCTCAAAACCATCTCAACCCTAAACCCACGAGTCGTCATCCTCTCGGGAGGACCTCACTCGGTCCACGCGCCTGACGCGCCGAGTTTCCCAGACGGGTTCGTTGAGTGGGCCGAGTCGAACGGTGTCCATGTCTTGGGTGTTTGCTATGGCTTGCATCTGATCGTGCAGAAACTCGGAGGTGATGTCAGAGATGGTGAGAGCAAGGAATATGGGAGGATGGAGATTGAAGTGAAGGGCAAATCTGCGATTTTCGGACCGGAGAGTGCCGGAAAAAGACAAGTTGTTTGGATGAGCCACGGCGACGAGGCGGTGAAGTTGCCGGAGGGTTTTGAGGTTGTGGCGGAGAGCGAGCAAGGAGCCATCGCCGCCATTGAGAACCAGAAGAGGAGGTTTTATGGCTTACAGTATCACCCTGAGGTACTTCTGAGTTTATTTGGAGCTTATTCTGAGTTGTTTTGTCTCGTTATGTTGAATCTGGAATCATCGAGTTTCAAAGTTCTGATCTTGTTTGATACTGGAATCTTGGAGGTTAATCAATTGATTGTGGGCTAGTTTAATATAATTCATTGATGGCAAGATTCTGAATAATCTTGAATTGGGTAGAGTTTGAACAGTGAGAGAGTCGTCTTGCTCTTTTTTGGTTTCATGGATAAGAAAGTCTGGAATTTTGGTGTCTGACTATTTAAGACATGTGATATGACAGTTGGAATTTTTGTTCTGTTTGAAACTTTGTGTTACTTGGTCTAATACAAATTCGTGGCTTGGAATTGGATTGGCTGAATAAGCATCTATCTTTAATGGAGTTGTAGATAATTCAGTTTGGGATCTTACATGGGTAACTTTTGAAGAATCTGATCTTGTCCATGTCTGAAGTAGCAGAACATTGGATAATAGTTTTCAACGATTGAAATCTTGATGTGACTTGATTGTTTGAATCTGCTAGACAACAGTTTGTGCTCGTTGCAGAGTTTCCGATAACAAAGTACCCGTACCCGCCATTGAGAACCAGAAGAGGAGGTTTTATGGCTTACAGTATCACCCTGAGGTACTTCTGAGTTTATTTGGAGCTTATTCTGAGTTGTTTTGTCTCGTTATGTTGAATCTGGAATCATCGAGTTTCAAAGTTCTGATCTTGTTTGATACTGGAATCTTGGAGGTTAATCAATTGATTGTGGGCTAGTTTAATATAATTCATTGATGGAGAACCAGAAGAGGAGGTTTTATGGCTTACAGTATCACCCTGAGGTACTTCTGAGTTTATTTGGAGCTTATTCTGAGTTGTTTTGTCTCGTTATGTTGAATCTGGAATCATCGAGTTTCAAAGTTCTGATCTTGTTTGATACTGGAATCTTGGAGGTTAATCAATTGATTGTGGGCTAGTTTAATATAATTCATTGATGGCAAGATTCTGAATAATCTTGAATTGGGTAGAGTTTGAACAGTGAGAGAGTCGTCTTGCTCTTTTTTGGTTTCATGGATAAGAAAGTCTGGAATTTTGGTGTCTGACTATTTAAGACATGTGATATGACAGTTGGAATTTTTGTTCTGTTTGAAACTTTGTGTTACTTGGTCTAATACAAATTCGTGGCTTGGAATTGGATTGGCTGAATAAGCATCTATCTTTAATGGAGTTGTAGATAATTCAGTTTGGGATCTTACATGGGTAACTTTTGAAGAATCTGATCTTGTCCATGTCTGAAGTAGCAGAACATTGGATAATAGTTTTCAACGATTGAAATCTTGATGTGACTTGATTGTTTGAATCTGCTAGACAACAGTTTGTGCTCGTTGCAGAGTTTCCGATAACAAAGTCTGGTTTTTTCGGTTCTGTTCGATATTCAAAATCTCCAGGAATTCCTTGTACTCGATAATCTTCGTATTCCAACCTTGTTGTTTTCATGAACTGGGTATATGATCCTTTTCTTTTTTTTCCAGTAACAATTCTAAAATATCTCCAATGATTTGGATTTCTAGTCAGTGTTACATCGTTGCATAGGAATTCAAAACCACAGGTTTTGGGACCGACTATTCAAAGTGGATACTTAAAAATGTTAAGGGATTTGTTGTTGAATTTCTTTGCAGGTGACACATTCACCCCAAGGAATGGAGACTCTTCGGCATTTCCTCTTCGATGTATGTGGAGTTTCTGCTGGTTGGAAGATGGAGAATCTGTTGGAAGAAGAGGTTAAAGTGATAAACAAAACTGTCAGTGCTGATGAACATGTCATCTGTGCCTTGTCAGGAGGTGTAGATTCCACCGTGGCAGCAACTCTTGTTCACAAAGCGATCGGAGATAGGCTTCATTGTATCTTTGTCGATAACGGGTTATTGAGGTCAGAGTATATGTTGCTTTTTCATTGAGACAAGACAACCTATTTGTCTGTTCTCTCATGTCATCAACTGTGATGTTCTGTTGCAGATACAAGGAGAGAGAACGTGTGATGGCGACCTTCGAGAAAGATTTGCATCTACCTGTAACGTGTGTGGATGCATCGGAGCAGTTTTTGAGTCAACTGAAAGGTGTAGTAGATCCCGAGACAAAAAGGAAGATCATTGGAAAGGAGTTCATCAACATCTTTGATCAATTTGCACATGATTTGGAGCAGAAGCTCGGGAAGAAACCCACTTATCTAGTCCAAGGGACTCTCTACCCGGATGTGATAGAGTCATGTCCGCCTCCAGGGACCGACAGAACTCACTCTCACACCATCAAAAGCCATCATAACGTTGGTGGACTCCCTAAGGATATGAAACTGAAGCTCATCGAGCCACTCAAGCTTCTTTTCAAGGATGAGGTTTGTTCACCATTGTCTTTGATCGTTCTTCTACTCTTGTGAACGTGTGAGACAGGTTATAAAAATCTATCTATTGGGTCTTTGTTGTTAAGGTCCGTGAGCTCGGGAGAATCTTGAATGTTCCTCAAGGATTCTTGAAGAGACACCCGTTCCCAGGTCCAGGACTCGCTGTCCGAGTCCTGGGGGATGTCACAGAAGGAGATGCTCTAGATGTTCTCCGTCAGGCAAGTTTGTGAAACCCTAAAATCAATGTGTGTGTATATATATTCTTGTTTGTTTACCCTATCCATGAAACTCAAGATTTTCTTGATATTTTCCATCAGGTTGATGAAATTTTCATCCAGTCAATCAAAGAAGCGGGTCTCTACGATTCAATCTGGCAAGCCTTTGCGGTGTTCTTGCCCATAAAGTCTGTCGGAGTCCAAGGCGATAAGAGAACTCATTCCCATGTCGTCGCTCTCCGTGCTGTCACAAGCCAAGACGGGATGACAGCAGATTGGTAAGCTTACATCTCTACATACATGCATACATACATATACATGTAGGAGTTTCTAAATAAGTGCATAAACGTATATATTCACTTAGAACCCCGAATTAGATGGGAAAAGTTTCAGGCTTTCCTATGTATATGAGAATTAAGAACATAGTTTCAGGCAGTAGTTTAGTTGTCATTAGAGGGAAGTGAAACTCGAAATAACGTGTGTTTTCCGAGTTGGGTTTGGACAGAGGACGTGAAAAGGTTATATCTTTACGAGGTTTTTTGGGTGTATTGGTTCCAACTTCCAATTGCAGGTTCAGCTTTGAACACAAGTTTCTGGACGATGTTTCGAGAAAGATATGCAACAGCGTTAGGGGCGTCAACCGTGTGGTTCAAGACATCACTTCTAAGCCTCCTTCCACCATTGAATGGGAATAAATTATATTATATTATTTGGATCATTCATTGTTATACGCACTAGTGGTGGACACCATGTTTGATTTTCCTATAAAAATAATATATATATATATATATCATTCTGTAAAACATTCGAGATACAGTAATACATGTGTGTGAATTAAAGTCTCTTATGTCAAAATTTTCATTTATATATATACACATATATACAGCGTAAAATTTTGAGAAAGGGGCCCTTTACAGTTAGGCCGAGTTAGGAATGCTTTAATACGAGGAAGGAACAAAAATATAAGGCCTTTCTGTATACCCGATTTTGGGAGGATCCAGTTTCAGATACCAAACCGGTTATTAGGCCCATTATATTCTTAACCGGGCCGGTTTAGCCTATGATTACATATATCTTCTGAATTGGGCTCGGTATTTCAGAGCTTGTATTTAACTTTTTTTTTCCACCATTCACAAAAAAAAAAAGAAGAGAAAGAACAGTAATTTTTTATCTTCCGACAATTGGCCAATAACTACATTCTATTGGATGATTATAATTGTTTAGATGGATTGCATGAAATTGGGGATATTTTCATTGTATAATACATTTAAATCTAGAGACAAATTTAGTACGCGAGAAAATTATAACGCATGATCCGAAATTTAAAGAAAAAGATTAACGGATTAAAAAATAATATGGAATGTACGCTTTGTTATATATAGATAACAGTAAATATTTGTCATATAGAAATGTATAACATAAGAATATGTTTCTGGAAATTTTTATTACTAAAAAAGAGGGAAACTCAAAAGCTAAGGCTGAATCCACAAGGCGGGAACGTCTTTCCAGAATTAGTGTGGGACCACTGTGACATAAGCGTAAAGCAAAATCGAAATACGAAGATATAATTTATTTTTATTTATTTTAATTGTCTACGGTAATGTAATTCTAAAAATATATAAAATAATTTAAATAAACAACCAAACAATTTATGTGGAAAAAAAAAGGCAAACAATTTTCCCCCGTAATTAGCAAATTTTCATTTGTTTTCTCGTCTGTTTCTCGGCATCCAAACAGAGGGAAGGGAAAGGCAGCGATCGAATTGCGCAACTGGGGATTTCGACAATTTCCTTTCCGGCGAGGGACTTACCTCTGGCGTCTTTTGCCGTGAATTTGAGGATTCACCGTCGGAGTCAACCGCCATTGTTGCGTCTCGAGATGTCTCAATCCCTCTCTCCCATGGCGTCTCAGGTTCGTGCTTGTGTCTCTTTCGTGTGCCTCTCTGTCACGAACATTTGTGTAGTGGAGATGTTTTCTTTGGGTTTTTGTCTGGATCTGGTCGTTTAGGCGAAATTTAGGGAATGTAGTTCGGGATTTGGGCTGATTTTATGGCTTGATTCGCTAGGTGTTGTATTTGGTTCGCATTGTGGTTATTTCGTCGCTAGGAAGATGAAAACGCTGAGAAGAAACCTCGCTTTTCAGAATATCTTGTGGTTTTTTGCTTTTTACCCTCGAAAGCGAGAGCCTGTTTTTTTTTCTCTCTTGAGATTGAAATTGTTAGCTTGTCGGGGTTTTCTTTTGGTATGAATTTCCTCATGTACTGGTTATTATAAAATTTTACGCCAAAGGTTTATGTGTTGCTCGATCCTTTTCTCTATGGAGAAAAACTAGCCTAGAGCGCACAAAATCTGGAAACCAGTGGCTCATGGAATGGTGAGCGAAGATATTTCCATGACTAGCATGAAATAGGCAGAGTATTACTTTTACCGTGAAAATGACTATTTTTGCTTCCTTGCAGCTGCACTTGTTTTTTAACATTGATGTGGGATTGAGCCATTTGCTTTTAGGTCTCATCACACCCATGATCCTTGGAGCCCTGGAATCTCAAAGTTGAAATGAACAGTCATCTGGAACAGGGCGCCGCCATGAGTGGTGCCTATTCTCGGTCAAATGGGTCCAGCATCCTGAGTTTCGACGGATCAGAAAGTCGTGAAAGCATCGATGATTTTAAGAAAGGCAATACTCTTTACTCTGTCTGTTTGTTGTTTGTCTTCTCTCCTGCTCTTGCTTTTGTATCCTCTTCAATTATCCCAGAAGCCTGGCATCAAAATTTTGAAACACCCAAATTTCATATCTTGAGTTTTGACGTAGAAAGCAGTTCTACTGGATAATAGGTGTCTGGCATCAATTCTCTTGTTGACTATATTAATCGATCTTAGTGTAAGGTGGTGAACAGATGCTTCTAGTATGATAGATAGCTTCACGATATTAACTTGAGTTTTGACATAGAAAGCAGTTCTAGTGAATAATGGGTGTCTCACATCAACTTTCTAGTTCACAGTATAATAATTAATCCTAGTGTAAGGTGGTGAACAGATGCTTCTAGTATGATAGATAGTTTCATGATAATCCAACACGGGTTCTGGCATGGCAGACATTGACCTTTTTATGGTTTAAGGTGTCATCACATTATTGAGAACCAAAAGCTTCTATGCTACAACCTTTTGGTCTAGGAGTTAACAGAAATGAGATGATGGCTCATACGCTTTAATTTAATCACATAAACTGCTTTCAGGTCATCAGAGTTTGGTGGAGTGGTTAAATGAGATGCTTCCTTATTTGAATTTACCATGGGAGGCTTCAGAGGAGGAACTGAGAGCATGTTTGATGGATGGAACTGTCTTGTGCGGCCTCCTGAATCAGCTTAGTCCTGGTTCAGTAAGAATGGTGCTTATGAATTTGTTTGCGTAGAATGTTATACTGGTCGATACGTGTTACCCTTTGGTTGCTGTGTTTAGCCTTCCACTTTTGTGCTGTCTTCTGGACTCACCATTTTTTGTCTATTATAGGGTGGCAGTTTCGAGCCTTCTGGTGTAAAGATAGAGCGATTTCTTACAGCTATGGATGATATGGCCTTGCCCAGATTCGAGGTTTCAAACTTAGAACAGGTTTGTTCTTTTTTTCCTGGATAGAGTAATTGGATTACAAGTTAATATGTAACGTCTTTAAAACATCCAGTGTGATTTTGGATTTCCACGTTTTAATTGCATCATATACCTATTGATATAATAAACCGAACAAATCATATCACATACTGATATCAAGTGCTTATAATATCATCTGTTTTCTGCACATCTACCTGATGCACTGGTGTTCTAGTTTGGGATATTGCTTAATTTGAACATGAAGGACAGTTTTCAGCTTTAGTCTTGTGATATTGAAATATTAGGTTTTCTGTTTCCATGCCTTTCCAACCTCTTTTTCTAGTTTATTTCTATTATCTAGTATTGCTATGAATAATTGTAAGAGATACTATGCAGGGAGATATGGTTCCAGTTTTGCAGTCCCTCAAGGCGCTAAAAGCGAGCTTTTCCGATGGTGGGTATGACAAGAACTCGATATCTGCTAGAAGGAGATGGAGTTTGCCAGAGGATCACTCAAAGGAAGCTGATAACAATTTAAGTGATGGATTTCAATTTAAGGAAGGAACTGACATCAATATATCTGATGATAAAATTTTGGAATTACTGAAATCAAACAGTTTACAAGTAAGGTCTTCTTACGAATTTTCTCTTGATTTTGTCGAAGTTTCAAGCTTTTACCTCTGCTTCTGATGCAAGTTTTATTCCTATCTTGGTAGAATGCTTCTACTCGTTCACTATTTGACATGCTGGATAAGCTTTTGGAAGAGAACATGAAGAACATGAATGGAAATATCTGTAATGTATGGCAGCAACTGTGCAACAGATGCTGCACTACCCTTGATTATTAGTTTCTGGTTCTCACGGCATATGGATCCTAAGTTCATTGAACTTTTTCTCATACTTCATCTTGAGTTCCTCTATATTTCAGGCTATGGCATCTATATTGAAAGCAATTGTACAAGTGATAGAAAGACGGATTTCAATTCAAGCAGAAAACTCAAAAAATGTACGAGCACTTCTGGTTTTTCTTTTCTTTGCTTTTCTTTTTCCCGAATGTTATTAATCATTCTTCTGACAAATTCATTAAGTGTGCTAGTGAAATTGGTGCAGCAAAATATACTCTTTAGGGTCCGTGAAGAAAAATATCGATCAAGGATAAAAGTTTTAGAAACCTTGGCAGCTGGGACAACAGAGGAGAATGAGGTACAATGTATATTTCGGTTTCTAGTTGTTATATGTTCCTTCTTTTTGCAATCATTTTCTAATTGGTAGATCTTGTTATTTTGTAGATTGTAACGAACCATCTGGAACATATAAAGGTATGTAATCTATGTGACGTGGCAAGTAACATATTTACGCAATAGAATCACTTTCAATTCATTTCCTGCTTCTCTTGTTTCACAAGTTTCATGGTTATATTGTACTTTCTTGTGCATTGTAGCTAGAGAAAGCCAGGGTGGAAGAGAGAGAAAGGTCGGAAGAGAAAGATGTGCTAAGGTTGAGGAAAGAAAAGGAGCGTAGAGACGCTGAGATTTCTAAGCTGAAGCGAGAATTTGAAATGGAGAAAAAACTACATGAAAAGCGCTGCCTGGAACTAGAAGCTAAAGCTCAAAAAATTAAAGTTGAATTTGAGAAGAAATTGAAGGATGCGGAGTTACGTGAAATTGATTCAACCAAGAAGGTGAAAGAACTTGAAACGCTATGTGAATCTAAATCTCAAAAATGGGAGAAGAAAGAGGGCACCTACCAGAGCTTTATAGACAGACAGTCGGGGGCTTTGCAGGTTTGGCTTTATTGGTAGTTTTGCAAATATATGTTAGTATCCGTAGTTCTTTCAGTGACATTGAGTCTGAACTCTCCAGGAGTTGAGGGCTACTTCAGAGTCTTTAAAACATGAAGTTATGCTGACACAAAAGAGTTACATTATCGATTTAAACTACTATGGTAAGATTGCTCAAGTTATTTATAGTGTTGTTTGCTTTGCCTTGATGTTCTTTTGGGTTACTCGCCTTTTCATATTTGATCCGTTTTTCCTAGGTATAAGGCTAAAAGGAGTAGCTGATGCAGCGAAAAATTACCATGTGGTTCTTGAAGAAAATCGGAGACTGTATAATGAAGTCCAGGAATTAAAAGGTATAAACCTTTCAGTAGTTGCGCGTCATGTGTTTGAGCATTCGGGATTGATTTATGTTATTTTATCTTTATGTTTAAAAGGAAATATCAGGGTCTATTGTCGGATTAGACCATTCCTTCCTGGGCAAAACAAGAGGCAGACAACTATAGAATACATTGGTGAGAATGGTGAATTGGTTGTGGCGAATCCCTTAAATCAAGGCAAAGATACACATCGATTGTTTAAATTCAACAAAGTTTTTGGTCCTACAGCAACTCAAGGTGAGCTTTTCCACTTCCACTTTGAAACCTTTTCCTTGTTCTTCTGGTATATGTCCCTTTTATCACAGTTTTCTTTTCTTTCATATGCCTGGTTAAAATGATTAAGGACCTAACATCTATTGATTGTCCCTTTCTTATTTATGCAGAGGAGGTATTCTTAGATACTCAACCGCTAATTCGATCCATTCTTGATGGCTACAATGTTTGTATATTTGCCTATGGCCAGACAGGCTCTGGAAAAACTTACACAATGGTGAGCAACGTGTTTGATCCTGTTCATGTGATATGCCAGCCTTATTTAAGCTTCTAATGGATGTAACCAATTTTGCATACACATAAAGAGCGGACCAAGTATAACTTCAAAAGAAGACTGGGGTGTCAACTACCGAGCTCTGAATGACTTGTTCGAGCTAACTCAGAATAGGCAAAACACCGTCGAATATGAAGTTGGTGTCCAAATGGTCGAGATATATAATGAGCAAGTCCGTGATCTACTTACTGAAGGCGGTTCCAATAGGAGATATCCTTTTCTTAATCTGATATCATCTTGGTGCATTTTTGTGGATGCATGGTGTGTATATATAGTTTCTTTATAAGATACTGTGGTGGGTGATATCATACTTGGTTCTCTCAATTGCTTTCTTTAACCTGCTTACACTTGGGATTTGGAATACTGCCCTACCAAACGGGCTAGCAGTCCCTGATGCGAGCATGCATCGCGTGAGATCAACTGAAGATGTCCTTGAGCTAATGAGCATCGGGCTAATGAACAGAACTGTTGGAGCCACAGCTCTCAATGAGAGGAGCAGTAGATCACATAGGTTTTCGGCCATGAAACCGAGCTGTTATTAATCCTATTTCTCAATTTCAAAGGATTAAGCTTTGTTTTGGCTGTTTTTATGCAGTGTTCTTTCTGTTCATGTGCGTGGTATCGATGTGGAGACAGACTCTGTACTGCGTGGTAGTTTGCATTTGGTTGATCTTGCTGGAAGTGAAAGGGTTGATCGTTCTGAGGCAACTGGAGAGAGGTTAAAAGAAGCTCAACATATTAACAAATCTTTGTCAGCTCTCGGTGATGTTATCTTTGCCCTTTCGCAAAAGAACCCTCATGTTCCATACCGAAACAGCAAGTTGACTCAAGTCCTTCAGAGTTCCCTCGGTACCTATATTTAAACGATGACTGTGTTTTTGTCTTATGCTGTTTGGTTCCTGAGATAACTACTTTGTTTCACCCTTCCTTTTTTTTTTGTTAATTAGGAGGACAGGCCAAAACTCTTATGTTTGTGCAGATCAATCCCGATGAAGATTCATATTCCGAGACTGTAAGTACTTTGAAATTCGCTGAAAGGGTTTCGGGTGTTGAGTTAGGTGCAGCAAAAAGCAATAAAGAGGGACGGGATGTTAGACAACTCATGGAACAGGTTCCTATTTTTTCCCCCCTTTATCTCATTTTTCTTATTGTTTCCATCGAAAATGAGTATACCCAAATAGAATTAGTCACATCCTGTGTATAGCTCTGTCGGATTTTAAACTGAAACCGTTGTATCTCGGATGTTACCTGTTAAGATTACTTAGAATTATCATAGCTTACGAAAGGCCTAAAATGGGTACGGCTGAAAAGTTTCCAGATGAGTTTTGCTTTAAAAATTTGGTGATTGCAACATAAGTAATGTGATTCTCTGTAGCATATGATGCTTTGGTTAAAAAAAAACGGATGACATCGCCTTGCGTATGTTTTGTTGGATTTAAAAATGTGATATAAACTATATATAATGCCGGATAACGATGGTTTTACCGTGATATCCCTTGATATTTTGCAGGTTTCAAAACTGAAGGATGTGATTGCAAAGAAAGATGGAGAGATTCAAAAGTTACAACAGCTAAAGGGTAATACTGGTGTCCTAAAACGCGGGTTAAGCAGTCTAAGATTCGGGTCTCCATCCCCAAGAAGCCATTCTGTTGGAGCTTCACCTAACACTCGAAGAGGGCAAGGTTCGAATTTATTC